TGGTGCTATGTTTGAGATAGGGACAGAGGATGGGCTCAGGGGACAGTCCCACCCTTGAGCTCCAGACCTTGGGGACTACCTTCCACTAGGCCCCACAGGCAGCTGCTCACCCAGCCGGGGCAGGTACTTCTGCCGTTGCTCCTCACTGCCGTAGGCGTAGATAGGATGCATGACGAGGGATGACTGGACACTCATTGCTGACCTGTAGCCGCTGTCCACCCGCTCCAGCTCTCGGGCCAAAAGCCCGTAGGCCACAGATGAGACCCCAGCACAGCCATACCCTGGTGGTAGAGGAGGAGAAGGTAGGACAACAGAGGACAAAGCCCTGCCCACACTGGGACCAGGGACCCCTGGGGTCCAAGAGACAGGGGCACACAAGGAGGCAGGCATCGAGCCGAAGGTTATGCATCTCCTCACAGCCACTGTCAGAAGGATAATAGCCCCACTCTACAGACTAGGAAACCGTGGCTCAGGGAAAGAAGGGGGCTTTTCAGGACACTGGGGGGGGGCACAGAATGCAAAGAGAAACTTATCCCTACCTTTAATGGTGGGGCCCAGCACACCCAGCTCCCCCATCTCCGAGATGATCTCCCGATGAAAAACTGCAAAGGGACACATGCCAAGTTCAGGTCCAACCCTAGCCTGCTGCAGGCTCCAGCCCCAGGGACAGAGGGGCCCCGAGGCTAGGACAGGCAGAGCTGGTGTGAATGACGGAGGGTGAGGCTCCAGTGGGATGGGCAGCCCCAAAGCACCCACCGCCCACCCGGGCACCTTCGTTGCGATTGGCCAGCAGGATGCGAGGCATGAGTCGCTCCTGGCAGTAGCTGCGGAAGGTGTCCCTGATGAGGGTCTCATCTGCCGTCAGCTGCTGCTCCAGCAGCAGCGGGTCCTGCCAGTCAAACTGGGGATGCGAGGCTGGGGAGGGGACCAGAGGTGGCCTAAGTCCGCCCGCCCGCCCACCCACCACGCCCTCCTCTCCACCCCTCCACCCTGATCTGGCTCCCTGCTGAAGCGGGCTGCAAACAGGACCGGAAAGGTGACCTTTCTCTGACCCCACAGGGACAAGACACTCATACCTCAGCGCCTCTGACCCTGCGCACGACCCTGCCACCCCGCCCGGGCAGCTCTCGGATTCTGGGACACAGTCCGCCCGGGGCAGGCAGACAGGGGCTGAAGACGCACGGCGCGACCAGGGGTCCTTACACTTGGCCAGTCGGCTCTGAGTCCTCCCGCCTTTCTCTACAAACACAGGACGGGAAAGTCACCCCAGGGAAGTCCCCGAGCCCCCAGCCCTCCCTCTGCACCCCATCCCCGGGCCGGCACTGACCGGTCTGCGCCGCCGTAGAGACCCACGCGCGCAGGACGCGCAGGCCGGGCCCGCGGCTCAGCAGCCGCGCGGAGACGCCTCTCAGGGCCATGCGGGCAGCGGACGGGCGAGCGGAGCAACGACGGCGACCTGCGAGAGCGGGGCCGTCAGCGCCGAGCGGTTCCCGGCTGCGGCCCCGGCTCCCGCGCCCTCCTCACCTGCGGCCTCCCAGCCCACGGAGCGCAACTGCCGGAGGCCTTTGACCTCCGCCGGGCCGGTGGAGCGGAGCCCGAGCGAAGCTTCTCGTTGGTTCCGCCTAAGACCCGGTTCCCCCGCAGCTCTGCCTTTTAAAGGCACCGAGGCAGACCTGCCCGTGAAGAAGCCAGGCGCGCCAAGCCCGGGCATATTAGCCCCTTTAAGAAGCAGAAGCGGGAAGGGGCGGAAATCGAGTGCCCCGACCTGATTGGCCAGCTGTATTTCCGCTCTCATTGGCCATAGGAGGGGGCTCGGCCCAGTCCTGATTGGTTATTTGCAGGAGGCGTATGCTGAGGGATCCAAGAATTAAATAAGGAAACTGAGGCATGAGAAAAAAATGAGTCCTGAACCCGAGAGGCCAGACTTCTAAGTCTCCTCTAATGGGGTGCTGGTGGGGGAAAGATGGGCTCCGAGTGGGCGATTTTATAATAGCAAACCTGCCTGACAGTCGGTCCCAGGAAGCACGTGTAGCTGTGTGTGTGTGTGTGTGTGTGATTCTGTGGGTCTATGCTGTGATTGTGCCTGAGTGTGCATCTGTGTGGGGGCGGGACTGTGTGCCTGTGACTTCGTGGGGCTATTATGGGGCATCTTTGTGGTTGTATTTGTTGAATTTTACCTGATTGTGTGTTTCTGTGGGGCTGTGTTTCTCTGGAATGTGTGATACTGAAACCCTGTGTGTGTGTGTGTGTGTGTGTGTGTGTGATTATTTCTACGTAGGTGTATGTCCTGTTTGTGTGGTGGTTTTTTTGTTTGTTTTTGTTTTTGAGATCGAGTCTCACTTTGTTGTCCAGGCTAGAGTGAGTGCCGTGGCGTCAGCCTAGCTCACAGCAACCTCAGACTCCTGGGCTCAAGCAATCCTCCTGCCTCAGCCTCCCAAGTAGCTGGGACTACAGGCATGCGCCACCATGCCCGGCTAATTTTTTCTATATATCAGTTGGCCAATTAATTTCTATTTATAGGAGAGACGGGGTCTGTCTCTTGCTCAGGCTGGTTTTGAACTCCGGACCTCGAACAATCCGCCCGCCTCAGCCTCCCAGAGTGCTAGGATTACAGGCGTGAGCCACCACGCCCCGCCTGTTTTGTGGTGTTGATTGTGTGTTTCTATGATGTTATATGACTCTGATTGTGTTCTGTAGTTGTGATTGGAACTGTGTATTTATTTAAGGCTGTTAATAGTTTTAAGTGTTGCCCTGGCTGGGCGTTCATGCCTGTAACCCCAGCAGCTTTGTGATTCGAGGCGGGAGGATCTCTTGAGGACGGGGGTTCGAGACCTGCTTGGGCAACATGGCGACCTTGTTTCTATAAAAATAGAACAGCCAGCTTGGTGTGGTGGTGCCTGCTTGTAGCCCTAGCTACTGCAGAGGCAGAAGTGAGCTATGATCACACCACTGCACCCTAGCTTGAGTGACAGAGGCAGACCCTGTCTCTAAAATAATAAAAAGTTATGTCTTCATGAGTATGTCTGTAGTAATGTTCTATATTTGCATAAAATTGTGTCTGTGCACATGCGCTTCTTAGATGATTAGTATCTGTGTATGATTGTGTCTGTGGTGGCAGGAGTGCTTGTGTTGTGGCTATTTGTTTTTCTTTTTCCTTGCTTTTTTCTTTGAGACAAAGTCTTGCTCTGTCGCCCCGGCTAGAGTGCCGTGGCGTCAGCCTAGCTCACATCAACCTCAAACTCCTGGGCACAAGCGATCCTCCTCCCTCAGCCTCCCAAATTGCTGGGACTACAGGTGTGTGCCACAACGCCCGGCTAATTTTTTTATTTTTCATAAAGACAGGTTCTCACTCTTGCTCAGGCTGGTCTCGAACTCCTGACCTCAAGTGATCCTCCTGCCTTGACCTCCCAGCGTGCTAGTATTACAGGCATGAACCACTGTGCCCAACGTCATGCCCAGATATTTTTTAAAATTCTTTTGTAGAGATGGGGGTCTCAACATGTTGTCCAGGTCAACAGTTCTTGCCACGTCAACCCTCTGTGTAGTTTTAGATGTAACATGCTCTGCTCCCATCCCTAAATGCTTGGGACCTGGGTGTCCCTGGACCCTCCCACCTTCTGGGCCCTTCTTACCATTAATCTCCAAACAAAATGGTTTGAACCCTCCTCCTCACACAGAGGGAGTTCGTCGATACCCAGAAATGTCTGGGATTCTACATAGTACTTGTTCTGGTTACCTCTGTCCTGCAGACAGTGGCCTCTCTCCTTCCTTCCTTCCTTTCCCCAAAGCTTTCTGCCCTGGAGCTGCTGTGGGTGTAGCAGCTCTCCAATTCTCAGGTGATATCAGAGGGACATGACAATTTACACACTTAAAAACCCAAATTGTTGCCTGGCGGTGGCGTCACGCCTGTAATCTAGCTCTGGGAGCCGAGGCGGGCAGAAATCGCTACAGAGGTCGGAGTTCAAACCAGCCTGTCAAGAGCAGAACCCTCTCACCTATAATAGAAAGATTCAATTGGCAACTAACCAAGAGAAAAATTAGCCGCTAGGTGCGCATGCCTGTGAGTCCCAACGCTACTCGGGAGGCTGACACGAGATCGGCTTGGAGCCCAGGAGTTGAGGTTGCTGTGAGCCGAGGCTGACGCCCCACGGCAGTCCGCATCTAGCCTGGGCACAAGCGGACCTGTCCAAAAATAATAATAACCAAATTGTGGCTCAACCTTACCTACCCTGCGGAAGTCATCAACCTCACTGCCATACTATCTGGGCCTTGTCCCAGCCAATGCCTCCCTCTTCTCTCTTGGGACTCTTGTCCTCTTGCCTCACCTTTCAGAGCAGACAGCCTGGTGTGCTTGTCCTAAACCAGGGAGATCTTTCCCCAAGAGAAACTCTTGTTTTCCTTCTGAAAACCATCAAATTCCAGCATTATGTTTATTTGGTGAAATTCACACATAAAAGAATCCTTTTTTTTCTTTTGGACAGATCTACTCTGGTTGCCCAGGCTGGAGTGCCCGTGCGTCAGCCTAGCCACAGCAGTCCAATTCTGGCTTAAGCAATCCTCCCTCAGCCCATCCCCCGAGTACTGGGACTACAGGCATGTCACCAGCCTGCTAATTTATATAAATTGTTTTAGTTAGGCCAATTAATTCTATTCTATTTATAGTGCAGAAGAGGTTCAGCCTCATGCTCAGGCTGGTTTATGATCTCCTGACCATCAAGCCAACTCCTCCCCGCTCGGCCTCCACCAGAGTGCTAGGATTGCAGGCTGAGCCACCAGCGCCCGCTCTGGCCTAACAATTTTTTTAACGAGATGAGATCTCACTCTGTCACCCAAGGTGGAGTGCATTGCTGTGATCACTGCAGCCTTCAACTCCTGGGCTCAGGATCCCTCCTATGCCAGATTACAGCATCGTGTACTAAATGCGTAGGATCCTACAGGTGGTGAATAACCATTCTCGACACCCAGCTCACACCGTTTTGTGTGTCTAGTGATCGCTGAGGTTCTCTGTGTTTTATCAGCTTGGGGACCTGCGTTCTCCAATATTTCTGTACAACACCTTCAGGAATCCCTGTGTGTCTGGTGGCTTGTGACTAAATTGTGTCAGTGGGATTGTGGAATTTTGCCTGATTGGTCTATATGCATGCACAGACACACAACTACATGTGCAGGTATGACCAAGGGACCAGGAGAGTGTGTCACTATGTAATTGCATGGCTGTATGACTATACATGATGTGTCTGTGATGTGTGTCCATGTCCCCTACCCAGGCTGCCAGGGCACCGGAGTGGAGGTCTCTGTTGTGGAACCTCAGATCTTGTCCCCATGTTTGGCAAAAATCAAGCAGCAGCTAGGGGCAGAGCCACCGTATGGGTCTGCTGCAGTTCAGGTACAGCCTGTGGCATGATCCAGCAGTCCCAGCCTCCCTCCCGGCCCGCGTTGCACTGGAGCAGCTGTAACTGCACCGGCCTCAGCTGCCTCCACGGTCCTATGCAGTGACAACTGAGGGCCCATGGCAGACACTGGCGGGCTGCTTGGCAAGGGGCTCCCTCCTGCCACAGGGCTCAGACGCTAGGAGCTCCCAACCCAGGCGATTTAAGCCATGTTTATTTGAAGACCCAATCCCCCAACCCCCCCATTCACCAGGGGACAGAGCTCTGGCTGGTCTGGGCCCCCACCTGATAGCAGCCTCCAGCATCTGGGGTGTCTGATAATGCTTGGCAGGGAGTTCGTGCCAAGTCCCGCCATCAGCACGGCTGTTGCTGTTTATTGGGGAGGGGGACGGTTGCAGAGCCCTGCTTGGGGGACAGGGGGTCCCACAGCCTGTTCCCAGCATACCTATGCTACCTGCCACCCCTTCTCCAGGAAGGTAAACAGAGACCAGGCCCCCAAGTCTCTCCTTCTTTGGGGATCCAGTGCCTTTCTTTGTACCTGAACCCCCAACCACTGAGCCCCCAGCCCCTGATGTCTGACGTGGCCTTGGATGCAGGGTCAGTATTCAAGGCCCAGCCACAAACAGGCTGAAGCGAGATCTGTTCCCCAGAAACAGTGACCCCCCGCCTTGTCTGCCCCTTATCAGGGGCTGCAGCCAATCAGCTGAGGGCAGAGAGGAGCCCTCCAAGAGGCCATCAGAGCCTCAGAGCCCACGAGGCAGCCAAGGGAGAGGAGGCCTGAGGCCCAGGGTGGGCGCCAGCCAGCCATGGCCGCAGCAGAGACCGCCTTGCCCTCTATCGGCACACTCACCGCCCTGGGCCCTTTCCCGGAGGCGCAGGAGGACTTCCTCAAGGTAGGGCCAGGCGAGGTCTGGGTGGGGTGGCTGGGACCCAGGGCCACAGCCACAGAGCATGGGGGCCAGGCCTGTACCTTGTCCTGGAATCAAGAGACCTGGCCAGGACTGAGGTCCCTTTGGCCTGGGTCAGGGATCTAAGCTTGGTCTGGGGGAGGGTGGTCTAGGGGGCTGAGGCTCTGGGTAGGGCTTGTTTCTGTATTAGCAAACTGAGGCTCTGAGCCGAACACCCACATGGGTCTAGGCTGAGAGAGACAACCCCTGCACGTTGGTGGAGAACGGTGAATATGCCTGGGGACACCCAACATTTGGTAATTAATCTTGCTGGGAGACAGGGAAGGAGAGAGAGGTTCAGGGGGGGAAACTGAGTCAACAACTGGGGCCCTCCCAGCCTTTCATCTCCAGCTCTGCTACCCCTTCCCCCATCTCTGAGTGTGGTTCCAGATAATGGAAGTCTTATCTTCTGTCCCCAGCCAGACCTGATCCTCCTCTGTCCCTGGGGCTGAGGGGCTTGGGGGGGCAGCGTGGGGGAGTGGGATAGACTGACAACGGACAGGAAAAGACCCTTTTCCAAAGCCTCTGGCCAGGCTGTCCCCATCAGGGCGCCCAGCCCTCGCTGTCCCCACTTGGGGTCCCTTCGTGTCCACCGAAGCCTCAAACCGCCCGCTCCCTCCTGCAGTGGTGGCGCTCTGAAGAGGAGCAGGATATGGGCCCGGGTCCCCCCGCCCCCACGGGGCAGCCCCCCCACGTGAAGCTGGAGTTGGAGGACCCGCCCAGGGAGGACGAAGACAATGACAGGGACGCAGATGTCACCTGGGACCTGGATCTCCTGCTCACCAACTTCTCCGTCCCGGAGCAGGGTGGCGTGCCCCGAACCTGCGCTCTGGCGCCCGGCGAGGGGCCTGGGGCGCAATACCCGCCGCCGCCGCCGCCCGAGACTCGGGGCGCGTATGCGGCCGGCCCGGGGTCGGTGGCTGGGCTCTTGGGTCCCGAGGAGCCCCTGGGCTGGGCGCGCCCTGTCCTGCGAGCCCCGACCCCGGACGCCTTCGTGGGCCCAGCCCTGGCCCCGGCCCCCGAGCCCAAGGCGCTGCAGCTGCAGACGGTGTACCCCGCGCCGGGCGCCGGCTCCTCCGGTAGCTACTTCCCCAGGACCGGGTTTTCAGTGCCCACGGCGCCGGGCGCCCCCTACGGGCTGCTGTCCGGGTACCCCGCGCTGTACCCGGCGCCGCAGTACCAAGGGCACTTCCAGCTCTTCCGCGGGCTCCCAGCGCCCGCGCCCGGCCCCGCCACGCGCCCCTCTTTCCTGAGTTGCCTGGGACCCGGGACGGCGGGCGCCGGACTCGGAGGGACCGCAGGAGACCCAGGCGCGACCGCCGAAGCCGCACAGTCCAAGCGCAGCCGGCGCTCGTGGGCGCGCAAGAGGCAGGCGGCGCACACGTGCGCGCACCCGGGCTGCGGCAAGAGCTACACCAAGAGCTCGCACCTGAAGGCGCATCTGCGCACGCACACCGGTGAGTGGGCGGGGCCCGGGCCTGGGGGCGGGGCTGGAGGCGGGGCCCGGGAGTCCAGCGCGACCGGGAAGCCGAAATCCAGGAGCAAGGGGTGGAGCTAGAGGCAGAGACCCGGCGCAAGTGGCGGGACTGGAAGGCCGGAGGCGGGGCTAAAGGCAGGGTCCTGGAGCAAGGGCGGGGCAGAGGCGGCAGGGGGCGGGCCCGGAAGTTCAGGCAGGGGCAGAGGACCCAGGCAGCGGTCTAGAAAACGGGTAGGGGCAAAGAGAGGGTGGGGAGCTGACGGCTAAGACCTGGGCCACAGATGAGCGGAGGAGCGGAAAGCAGGACGGGGCTAGAGTGGGGAAGCTTCTGAGAGTGGACAAGCTTGGAATGCCAGGGTCTCAGGAGCCATGGTATTCCCAGGCACGTGGCTGCTTGGCAAGGAGGCGCCACCAGACGTGTACGCAGTGTGGCTGGGGCCCCGGGGTGAGACAGGGGCAGAATCAGTTTCAGGGGCGGCTCACAAAGGAAGGGCCCAGATGTGGAGGCAGGTCTAGGACAATGAAAACAGCTGGGAAACAGAAGAGGGGCGTAGGCATAGGAGGTGAAGCTGGATCCCAAGGAGTGGAAGACAGGGGCGGGGCCATGGAACAGAGGAGGGGGGAGGCCTATGCCTAAGGGGGTCCAGACAACTGTACAGACCTGTCCCTGGGGAGCAGGAGGGCAGGGCCATGTCTAGCAGGGACAGAGAGTAATCACTGGGGACAGGGCCTGGAACGCGAGTAGATTTCAGGGCTCAAGAGACCAAGATCTAGGGCAAGGTTGGGCAGCAGCTGCAAGGTCCCGTGGTGCATGGAAGCTGGAACACAAGCAGCAGGACCAAAGGATGGCAGTGAGACAGTATTGTGCAGGGACAGGGTGCCAGAGCACAAGAAGTGGAGCCAGTGGAGTAGGGGACGGGCTTGGGCCCAGGAAATGAGAAAGGGCGTGGTGCTAGCCACTGGTGCAGAGGAAGGTTCAGGGTTGCAGAGGGTGAGACCTGGGTGCAGATGCTGGATGGCCCCTAAATTTTGCCGCGTAGGTGCTTCCCTTGCCTCGCCCTAGTCCCAGCCAGACTGAGTAAAGGGCAGGGGACCAGGGGGTGGACAACGGCGCTCACAGTTTCCTCGCACCCCCGCCCCCAGGAGAGAAGCCATACGCCTGCACTTGGGACGGCTGCGGGTGGAGGTTTGCACGCTCGGACGAGCTGACCCGCCACTACCGGAAGCACACAGGACAGCGCCCCTTCCGCTGCCAGCTCTGCTCGCGCGCTTTTTCGCGCTCCGACCACCTGGCCTTGCACATGAAGCGCCACCTTTGAGCCCTGCCCCGGCACAGGGCAGGGCCTGTGGGACTGGGGATGGAAGAACAGGAGTGGATCCACACAGGGCGGTTTTCCCAAAGACGGACCCTCGCTGGATTGGCGGCCCCACAGACCCACTGAGGCATCAAGGACTGACCCGTAGACCTGGGGGAGCCTCCAGCGGAAGTTCTCGCATGTCCAGAGTCACACAGAGAGAGACGAGAAACGGTCACGCAGACCCAGCGAGACAGACCAAATACACGGACTCAGACGGACACTCAGATCAGCTCACAGGAGGCCCTGGACAGCGGGAAGAGGAGGGGGTGAGGCTTCCCAGAGACCCTGGGTCTGGAGGGGGCTTCACTCCGCGACTCTTCCTGACGCCCACGTGGTGGCTGGCATGAGCTGTGAATGGTTCTGGGTCTATAAAAATGTTCCCCCCATAAAGCTTCAGTGTTGGCTTGAGTCTGTGGGTTTTGGGGGGCTGGAAGGTGGGAGGAGGCTGTACCTCCAGAGGTGATCGTAAGGAGCCATACACACCCGCATCTCCCAAACCTCAGTGACACCCGTCACCTCTGACAACCCCCCCTTGGGCCCTGCAGGCCTTGCTGCCCTCTCATCTCCCCCAAGATCAGGCTACACTGTCCCGTCTCGTGCCTGGAACCCCGGGAACACTCACAGCAACCGTCCCCCTCCACTTAAGAGCCCTCAGCCGGGCCCCAGAGCCCTACCACCCTGCCGCCATCCAAAGTGACCCCTTGGCTAGCATGGGAAGCCCCCTCCCCCCGGCCTCCCGCAGGGGAAAACGTGCAGAACGAAAAGGGGGTTGGATCCGGAGCACAAACTCCCTCCCCTTAAGAGAGCAAAAGTTGTAGGGCTGGAAAGGAAAAAAATCCAAACCTGCGCCTGATCAGGAAGCCAGGGCGGGAGCGGGGTGGGACGGAAGAACGCGGGCTGAGATTGGCCACCAGGGGCAGAGCGGAGGCGGGGCTCGGGGAGGTGCAATCGGACGCGGGACGCGCGGGACCTCCGGGCCCGCCGTGGGCGTGGCCTGAGCAGAGCCGGGGGCGGAGCCTATCGGGGATCGAGTCCGCGGGAGGCAGGACGCGGCCTCCGCCCCGCCCCGTCGGGGCCGGGGCCTGCAGGGAGGGACGGCCCAGAGAAAGCCGGCCCCCAGAGGACCCATCTGGTCTCCGGGCGGAATCTCGGTTCTCGTGACCGCCCCGAGGCCGAGTTCCCGGGCGAGTTTGGGCAAGTCAGAGGCTCGAGGAGCTGCCCCTGGCCCTGCGCGTGACCCAGGGCCCCACAGTCCCGACACAGATTTCTCGATCCCAGCCACAGAGCTGCGATGAGCCCGCTGCTGCTGGCCGCGCTGCTGTGGGTCCCAGCCGGGGCCCTGACCTGCTACGGGGACTCGGGGCAGCCCGTGGACTGGTGAGTGCGCGGGCGCCGGCCATCCCCCCGAGGTTAAGCGTGGGCGCCGCGCCGGGGGACACCCCTCGGGATGGCTTCGCTCCTCGGTGATCCTTCTCTCCCCCCTCCTCCTCCGTCTCTGTGAACTCCCCGCCCTCCAGGTTCGTGGTGTACAAGCTGCCGATCAATAGCGGGTCCCAGGATGCGTCGCAGAGCGGGCTGCGGTACAAGTACTTGGACCCTGACTCAGGGGGCTGGCGCGACGGCGCTGGGCTCATCGACAGCTCGGCGGGGGCGGTGGGCCGCAGCCTGCAGCCGCTGTACCGGAGCAACGCCAGCCAGGTGAGGGGGCGCCCGCTGACCCTGGGCTGCGAGTCCGTGCCGGGAACTTCAGGTTGCCTTTGCCCACCCCTTTGCAGCTCGCCTTCCTTCTCTACAATGACCAGCCGCCTAAGGCCAGCAGGGATCAGCACTCTTCCAGGCGTGGACACACGAAGGGTGACACCTGGATTGGGGGCTGGGGGGAGTGGGGATATGCTTTCCCTACACCTTTTCCCAAGCTAAGCTCTGACCTTTGTGGGGGGTGGGGTGCCTGCCCAATCGGACTCTGGGCTTGTTTCCTCGTCCTAGCATTGCTCTGGACTAAGAGAATTTACACTTGACCCTGCTGCACGGTCTCCAAGCCCCCCTGCCAACTGAGTGTGTTCCAGGTTGCAGGTGGGCTTGCTGGGATGCCCTGAGCAGGCCCCACTGACTGCCTTCTTCTGGTCTAGGTGTCTTGCTCATGGGCCAAGATGGGGGCTTGTGGCTGGTCCACAGTGTGCCACGCTTCCCTCCACACCCCTCCCCTGCTGGATACAGATGGCCTTACAATGCCCGTGTCAACGGGCAGACCCTGCTCTGTGTGTCCTTCCCCCTTACCCAGTTCCTGAAGATTGGTGAGTAGAGGAAGAGCAGAGCCAGGGCTGGGGGCGGGGTGAGGCAGGACAATTCCCAGATTCCAAGGCAGAACCTGGAAAGTTCTCACATCTCCTCCTCCCCTTGTCCTCCAGGCAAGCAGCTCACCTACACCTACCCCCTGGTCTACGACCACCAGCTGGACGGGGTCTTCGCCCAGAAATTCCCTGACCTGGAGGAGGTGATCAAGGGCCACCACATTCGCGACAAACCCTGGAACAGCAGTGTGACGCTCACGTCACAGGCAGGAGCTACTTTCCAGAGCTTTGTCAAATCTGCACAATTCGGAGATGGTGAGCCCTGAGGCAGGGGGCGGGGAGAGCTCGTTCTCTGCAGAGGGGTGTCTCCTGTGCCCATGGCCCAGGACAAGCCAGGGATGGAGACCGATCTTTCTGGGAAACTTAATCACACGAGAGGTAAACAGTTCCCAGTTTGAATATTGGTTTCTGGCTGTCTGATGTGTATTTAACCTAAGCCTCAGTTTACTCATCTGAAAAGTGAGGATAACGGTGCCCACCTTAAAAAATTGATGTGAATGCATACGAGACATTTGGGAAGGGCTAGTAATGTTACTGTTGTCCTTCTTGGAGTTGTTGAAAATTGACAACTGAGCTCAGGAAAGAGAAAGACTGAGTTCAGAATGGGGAAGTGGCCTAGCCATGACCCTGACCCTGACCCCTTTCCTTCCTCTGCAGACCTGTACTCCGGCTGGTTGGCGGGAGCCCTTGGTAGCAACCTGCAGGTCCAGTTCTGGCCAAACTCTCGAGGCATCCTGCCCTCCAACTGCTCGGGGACCTGGAAAGTTCTGGATGTGACCCGGACAGCATTCCCTGGGCCAGCTGGGCCAACCTTCAGTGCCACAGAGGACCATTCCAAATGGTGTGTGGCCCCGGAAGGGCCCTGGGCCTGTGTGGGAGACATGAATCGGAACCAAGGAGAGGAGCACCGGGGTGGGGGCATGCTGTGTGCCCAGCTGCCAGCTCTCTGGAAGGCCTTCCAGCCCCTGGTGAAGGCCTGGGAGCCCTGTAGGGACGAAAGCTGGGCCAGGAAGCCCCACAGAGCCCATGAGAGCTGAGGCTCAGGAACCCATTTGGACTCGACTCTGAATCCCAGTTCAGCCGCCTAACTGTATGATCTTAATTGTGTGCCTTAACCTCCCTGTGACTCAGTCTGATCACCTGCAAAATGAGAACCATAACCCATACCACTCAGGGTTGTTGTGGAATAAAAGGAAATGGGCAGATGAGGCTGTTACCTTTTCTTCAGGTGGGCACCGGGTCACAGAACAACGTTGCAGCACCTCTTCTAAGGGTTTGGGGGCAGATGGTGCGTAGGTGAGACCGGAAGTGGCAACACCGGAAGTAGGAACACCGGAAGGGTCCATCCAAATCTACCTCCTCTCTCCAAGGTAACAGGACTGGAGTTCCGGCCCCCACAAGCACCCGGTCATGGGGGTGAAGACACATGTCTCCCCTTGCCAGGGGAGAAGGGGTGACCCCAGAAAACTCACGCAGCACGGACGCGTTTTATTTATATGTGTACATATGTATACAGGCGGCTGTACAGCGCAGGGCCACGGCCCCCTCGGCTATGGGCCTGAGGGTGCGGGGCTGGATGCCCCTTTTTTGGTCAGGCCTGTTGGGGGCACAGCTTCAGCAGGACACCGGGAGGTCAGCCCGACTTCAGGCTTGGTGCCTGGGACCAGGAGGGAGGCGGGCGGGGCTGGGGTTGCTGCGCTGCCTGGCGCACTCTTCGCCAGGGCTGGGGACGGGGCCTGGGGGTCTGGGGAGAGCTTGGGGGAGGCGGGCTTGGAGCGAGGCCCGCTCAGCGTGGTCCGCTCCTCCACCACCTCCAGCACCCAGCGCTCTCGGCCCCGGGGGGCCTCGGCCCCGGGAGGGACCAGGGGCGCGGATTCCTGCAACCCCTTGGAGTCCACGGCCGGAGGCTCGGGCGCCTCAGCCTTAGCCCCGGGCCGCGCAGGCTCTACGACAATGGGCACCGGGGGCGTGCCCGCCTCGCCGGAGCTGCTGCGCCGGCCTGTCTCGTGTTCCTGCACGGGGCTCAGCGCCGCCTTGGCCACAGCCCTGGCCACCCCGCCTGTGCCTTCCTCCGTCTGCACGCTCTGGTGCCGCGTGCAGCTGGAGTCCCGCTCCAGAGTCCGGCCCCCAGGGGTGGTGGCGCGGGGCGGGGTGCAGGCCTCGGCGCCCCCCGGGGACTCCTTCTCCCTGCTGGACGCTGGCGGCCTGGGGGCGCCCTCCGGCACCAATGGGTCCGCGCCCAGGCTCAGGGGCGACTCCTGGCGGCCCAGGCGGCGGACGGCGACCTGCCTGGGTGCGCCAGGGCCCTCCACAGGGGGTGTCTCGCCGTCGGACTCGGCAAGGCTGTGCAGGGCCAGTTCGCCATGGAAGTCCTTGCGGAAATCCGGGTGGCCCACCTCGAGGCTGTGTTTGCGCAGCGCGCCCTTCTTGTCGGCGCCCAGCGAGGCGCCCAGCTTCTCTGCCGACTGCACGCGCTTCAGGAGCGGCGAGCGCGGGGGCTCAGCACTCTTGGGGCGCGGGCGCACGACGGGTGGCGAGGAATGCAGCTTGGCCGGGAAGCTCTGCGTCGTGTGCGAGCTGCCCACCGTGTGGCCCGGCAGGGGCGGGGGCGACGCCTGCGTAGGGGACGGCGTGTGTGCCAGCGGCGACAGGGGGATGTTTCCTGCCGACTTGCAGCGCGCGGAGCGGTACTGGCGGTGGAGCTTTGGCGACAGGCCGTGCAGCGTGCTGGGCCGGATGTGGTGAGACGCCGACGACGCTGGCGAGTTGGGCGTGCTCGAGGCTGGGGAGCTGCTCTGGGACGAGGCGCCTGCGGGCGAGAGGAGGTGCAGCCGGCAATGAGTCCCGCCCGGCACCAGCCAGGCCACCCCGTCTGCTCCACCAGGCCCAGGCCCAGGTGTACCTAGGTAGGCGGAGTCGGGCGTGGAGCGGTAGCTGTGCGTGGGTGAGCGGGCCGGCAGCCCGTGCGTGGGCGAGCCCGGGAGACTGTCGCTGGACGACAGTGAGCGGTTCAGCGATGACAGCGAGCGGCTAGTGTGCAGAAGGTTCGACTGCTTCGTGATCTTCCGGAAGAGAGAGCTGCGCTTCTTGCTGCAGGACAGAGAGGGGCCACCTAGCCTGGATCCAGATGCCCGAGCTCCTGGCCCCTCCCACTTCAGGACACCTGTAACCGCCCAGCTCTTCTGGACCCGCCCTCTCCAGCTATAATCCAGCTATCAAGACAAAGAACTTCCAGTCCAAGCTAGAAACATCCAAACAAAACCAATCTCTTCTGGCCCCGCCCACCTCTCTAACCCCGCCCTCTCCCACTGCAATCCGCCTATCAGGACGGGAAGAAATTCACTCACTCAGCCTGTCTGGCTCCCCTGACTTACTCAAATCCCATCCCAGCTCCTTGTCTGGGCCAAACCCATTAATCAAAACAACACTCTTGGCCGGGCGCGGTGGCTCACGCCTGTAATCCTAGCACTCTGGGAGGCCGAGGCGGGCGGATTGCTCCAGGTCAGGAGTTTGAAACCAGCCTGAGCAAGAGCGAGACCCCGTCTCC